GAGAGAGAGAGAGAGAGAATTTTTTTAATATTTATTTTTTAGTTCTCAGAGGACACAACATCTTTGTTGGTATGTGGTGCTGAGGATCGAACCCGGGCCGCACGCATGCCAGACGGGCGCGCTACCGCTTGAGCCACATCCCCAGCCCAAGATTTTATATTGACTTAATAAAAAGTTTTTGAGACCTTTCTGAAAATAGCATATTTCTTGTAAAGGTAAAAAGCAGATTTCATCATTCTGGATGTGTTGCTTTGATTTATATTGTTAGGTGTGTGTATTCATGTAGAGCCTATCGAGACAAGATAGATTTATTTTTAAATGAAAAGAAATGAAGTGCCAACTGTGGATTTGAATACATTAAGCTAACAAAATTGTTCAAGTGCCTTAAGTTTACTTAGCTATTATTTATAAAGATTAAAAGCTTTAAAATAGGACTAAAGAAACTCATTAGATATGCTGGAAGGATTGCTATTCTGGTACAAAATTATAGTATGACAATAAGGAGGGGAAAAACACATTTTTAAGCTCATGTCTTTTTGAAAGAAGAGTAAGGCCTATTTAAGAAAGAATTTTCAAAACTATATCAATATTCCAAGCTAAGAGATATTAGTCTATGCATATTGACATGTTTTCCCTGCTGAAATGATTGCAGCTAACCTTGGAGGTGAGAATTATAATAGTTATAAGTATTGAGTTTGCCTCCCCCTAATACCCACAGGTCAATTTATTTACTTCACTCATTTATCATCATAAATCATAAGATACAGAACCACCTACTTGTGGTCATATGCCAACTGTCTACAAGCTAGAACTTCTTTTTGCAATGATCTATGTGATTTAACTAGAGTAACCTCAGGAAAAAAAAAAAAGTTAAAAATTCAATCGCCTCTTTTACTGACCTTCCCATACTGATACTTCAGTGTTCTCTTTTGAGAACTTCATTTTTCAATATTCTTCCGGAAACTAAATACATTTTCCCATTATTCCTGTGCTCCCTTTTTTCATTAGGACTAACAACATGGTATTAATTATTCATATTAATCAATTAATTAATTGCAGTGTGAGAATGAGTTGGAGAAAAAGATAATTCCAACTGGAATTGAAATTCCACATCTTCGATTATTATAACATTTAAAAAAATTATTTCAAAAAATTTCCTTGTTAAAGGGACATCTATCATTAGATGATACCCCATGTTCATACATACAAAATGTGTATGTGATTTTCTCACCCACATCACAATGGAGGATAAAAATCCTAAAGTGGCAATAGTACTACTTAAATAAGTTCAGCATAGAAATACCTTTGATCACAGGAAAAATTGGGGTACTTTTTTGTGTTAAGATTTTTAGAATGATCATCAGGAATGCAAGAGCAACCTTTTAGTCATCATAGCTTTCATGAAAACAACTTAAGAGTATTAAAATTGAGACACTAATAAGTAACCCCTTGTAAAACATAGTATTTTCTAGATAATTACTTTGAATACACATACACAAAATTTTATTTAAACAAAGCAAATTGAGAAATACGAATGTTTGTGGATAACTGAGAATTTGATGCCACTTGTGCTAACTTTGTGCATGTTCATGCATAAAACCTATTAAATTCTATTAAATGAGATAAGGCATTATGCAAATTTTGCTGGGCCTTATTTTTTTTTTTTTTTTTTAGATTTTTAATGTTTTTACTAGTGCATTATAATTATATATTATATTGATTTTACACAATGATTATACATAATATGTATGATTTTTGACACAATCGTACATGCATGGAATATTATCTGCTCCACTTAAGTCCCCAGTTCTTCCTCTTTACCTCCGCTCTTCTCTTCTGCTGTTTCCCTTCCTTTACTCCATTGGTCTTCCTTCTATTTATCTATTTTTTTTTTATTTTTTTTATTTTTATTTATTTATTTATTTATTTATTTTTTTTTATTGTTGGTCGTTCAAAACATTACATAGTTCCTCATACATCATATT